GGCTGGTTTAATAATTAATCTGTAATTTTGTTTTATTTACATATAAAATAACGTAAAATATTTTATTTTTTTTTTTTCTAAACACTTTTCTGAAATGGTATGTACTGTACGATACAAATGTATTTCTGTTGTTAATTTACGTTTATCATTCTAAACACCTGTACTTAATGAGAATGGCAATCATTAAATTTTCTTATCAACTAAATCATAACATTCTACTCTATTCAACCAAAACATTTACAACCTATTAAAAACCATTTTCATTAAATCATTATCTAGTAATCATAGTAAACGTGTTTTGTTTTAAGCTATATTATTCGTTCTTATTCAATACCTCAGCGATGTATTATTATCTAACAAAATTACGTTTTTTCTCCTCTATTTTTTTTTTAGAAACTTTAAAAATTTTCTACGCTATTATATTATATTTATATGTCAAAAATATACAAAAAACATTTCCTTTGGGAATTTTAGATTTGAGATAACTTAGATGTACTTTTTTGAAGTAAATGCGACGATGCAATTACTGTATCAGATGTAATAGGGTAATGAAATGTTGTGTACGTTTATGATCAGAGATTGATAAAAAAATAAATAAACTACTTTTGAATTTTATTGGTTAACAGTGGCTGTAAATATGTCAAAAATACAAACTTAGACCAATCTGAAATAAAGAAAACTCCCAAAGAGATTAGTTGACCACACACACACACTTATTGTTAAAAGCCAAAGTAAAATCGATAAGAAACTACATTTTTCAGTACATAAAATAAGACGAATACATAAAATTTTTCTCATTTTAAACTAGTTTGCTAATTTAATTACTTGTATTATAATTTATCATTATAATACAGTTTATTCTTTAATAAAAGATAATTAAAACTATTGAAAACGTTCATTACATTTTCATTTAACCACATATTACACTTAAATAATACAGTAGAGCGTCGGTTATCCGAAACGTCGGTTATCCGAAAGAATTCCAGTCGGCAAATTTAAATTTTCGCTAGTGGCTGTGGCGCTGCAATCTTTGGCTATATCTTGGGCTACTCCAATATTTTTTATGTTTGTGTATGTTTTAGCTGGCAGCACTGTCACTTTTATGTCGTGTTTTTCTGAAGACTGTGTGTCATGCTGAATCCAACGTGTTTGATACTAGATAACTTCTAAACTATAAATTTTTTTGTTTTTATATTTTTCAATATATTTATTTTGTTTGTAAAAGATAAAGAAATAATTTTTAACGATAAAATAGCTTATTATTTTAAAAAGTTTACGTTAGGCTTAATTAATTAACATCGACGAAAATTCAACGAGAAGCGACACGCAACGGAGAAAAATTTCAACATGGGATAGGTTAATATATTTTTTCATACATAATCGGTTATCCGAAAAACCCCAGTCCCCAATTGTTTCGGATAAACGACGCTCTACTGTAATAAATAAATAAATAAATAAATTATATAAATTAAGAAATTAAATTTAATCATAAATTTTAATATCGAAAAGATATATTTTAATTAAATGTTGAATTTTTAAACTGTTTATACGAATTTAAAATATTTCGTCTGTAAACTTCAAATATATTTTAAATAATTTAAAAGCAGAAAACTGAAAGAAACGAAAAATTCTGCAGAAAATTTTCACATTTTTTTTT